TTATCATTTTTTTTCGATTTTCAGGTTTAAACCCAAATTTGCACGATTATCTTTAAAATTCTTTGGGTTAAATATGGTTCGTGATAAAGCACCGACTTATATGTCTTCTTAAAAAGAAAAGGTTAACCTTTAATTTGTTACAACAATTATTTCTTAACTTTTATAATTATGATCAGAGCGATTTTTAAAATTTTACGATTTTTTAATAATGATTTAGTTAAAACTCCAAAAACACTGTATTACTTTACAATCTTTTTTAGAAATGTTATTAAAGCTAGAACAATAACTTTTATATTTCCTGAAAGAAGAAGATTTTAGCTTCAATTTGGTGCTAAAGTTATTTCTTAACTTTTATAAATATGACCTGGGCGATTTTTTTAAATTAAACGATTTTTTAATGGTGATTTAGTTAAAACTCTAAGAACACAACTTTACTTTAAATTCTTTTTAAAAAATATTTTTAAAGCTAAAACAACAACTTTTATATTTCCTAAAAGAAGAAGATTTAAGCTATAATTTGGTGCAAGAATTATTTCTTAGATTTCATAAATAAAGCTTGGACGATTCTTTTAATTTCAATGTTTTTTTTTCTCTATTTTTATCTTAAGAATGATTTTTTGCAAAATTTCTTTCAAACCATGTCAATATCTTTTATATTTATTAAAAATAGAACCTTTAAACTTTAAATTATCATTTTTCAACTGTCAAAAACACAATTTTTCGAATTTATCATTTTTTTTCGATTTGCAGGTTTAAACCCAAATTTGCACGATTATTTTTAAAATACTTTGGGTTAAATATGGTTCGTGTTAAAGCAACGATTTATATGTCTTCTTAAAAAGGAAAGTTTAACCTTTAATTTAGTGCAAAAGTTATTTCGTAACTTTCATAATTATGACCTGGGCGATTTTTAAAATTTTACGATTTTTTAATAATGATTTAGTTAAAACTCCAAAAACACTGTATTACTTTGCAATTCTTTTTTAGAAATGTTATTAAAGCTAGAACAATAACTTTTATATTTCCTGAAAGAAGAAGATTTTAGCTTTAATTTGGTGCTAAAGTTATTTCTTAACTTTTATAAATATGACCTGGGCGATTTTTTTAAATTAAACGATTTTTTAATGGTGATTTAGTTAAAACTCCAAAAACACAACATTACTTTAAATTCTTTTTAAGAAATATTTTTAAAGCTAAAACAATAACTTTTATATTTCCTAAAAGAACAAGATTTAAGCTATAACTTGGTGCAAGAATTATTTCTTAGATTTCATAAATAAGGCTTGGACGATTCTTTTAGTTTCAACGTTTTTTTCCTCTATTTTTATCTTAAGAATGATTTTTTTGCAAAATTTCTTTCAAACCATATCAATATAGAAGCTTTAAACTTTAAATTATCATTTTTCAACTGTCAAAAACACAATTTTTCGAAGTTATCATTTTTTTTCGATTTTCAGGTTTAAACCCAAATTTGCACGATTATCTTTAAAATTCTTTGGGTTAAATATGGTTCGTGATAAAGCAACGACTTATATGTCTTCTTAAAAAGGAAAGTTTAACCTTTAATTTGGTGCAAAAGTTATTTCGTAACTTTCATAATTATGACCTGGGCGATTTTTTAAATTTTACGATTTTTTAATAATGATTTAGTTAAAACTCCAAAAACACTGTGTTACTTTGCAATCTTTTTTAGAAATGTTATTAAAGCTATAACAATAACTTTTACATTTCCTGAAAGAAGAAGATTTTAGCTTTAATTTAGTGCTAACGTTATTTCTTAACTTTAATAAATATGACCTGGGCGATTTTTTTAAATTAAACGATTTTTTAATGGTGATTTAGTTAAAACTCCAAAAACACAACATTACTTTAAATTCTTTTTAAGAAATATTTTTAAAGCTAAAACAATAACTTTTATATTTCCTAAAAGAAGAAGATTTAAGCTATAATTTGGTGCAAGAATTATTTCTTAGATTTCATAAATAAGGCTTGGACGATTCTTTTATTTCAACGTTTTTTTTCTCTATTTTTATCTTAAGAATGATTTTTTTGCAAAATTTCTTTCAAACCATGTCAATATCTTTTATATTTATTAAAAATAGAAGCTTTAAACTTTAAATTATCATTTTTCAACTGTCAAAAACACAATTTTTCGAATTTATCATTTTTTTTCGACTTGCAGGTTTAAACCCAAATTTGCACGATTATTTTTAAAATATTTTGGGTTAAATATGGTTCGTGTTAAAGCAACGAATTATATATCTTCCTAAAAAGATAAGCTTAACCTTTAATTTGTTGCAAAAGTTATTTCGTAACTTTCATAATTATGACCTGGGCGATTTTTAAAATTTTACGATTTTTTAATAATGATTTAGTTAAAACTCCAAAAACACTGTATTACTTAGCAATTTTTTTTAGAAATGTTATTAAAGCTAGAACAATAACTTTTATATTTCCTGAAAGAAGAAGATTTTAGCTTTAATTTGGTGCTAAAGTTATTTCTTAACTTTTATAAATATGACCTGGGCGATTTTTTTAAATTAAACGATTTTTTAATGGTGATTTAGTTAAAACTCCAAAAACACAACATTACTTTAAATTTTTTTTAAGAAATATTTTTAAAGCTAAAACAATAACTTTTATATTTCCTTAAAGAACAAGATTTAAGCTATAATTTGGTGCAAGAATTATTTCTTAGATTTCATAAATAAGGCTTGGACGATTCTTTTATTTTCAACGTTTTTTTTTCTCTATTTTTATCTTAAGAATGATTTTTTTGCAAAATTTCTTTCAAACCATGTCAATATGCTTTATATTTATTAAAAATAGAAGCTTTAAACTTTAAATTATCATTTTTCAACTGTCAAAAACACAATTTTTCGAAGTTATCATTTTTTTCGATTTTCAGGTTAAACCCAAATTTGCACGATTATCTTTAAAATATTTTGGGTTTAATATGGTTCGTGATAAAGCAACGACTTATATGTCTTCTTAAAAAGAAAAGTTTAAGCTTTAATTTAGTGCAAAAATTATTTCGTAAGTTTCATAATTATGACCTGGGCGATTTTTTAAATTTTACGATTTTTTAATAATGATTTAGTTAAAACTCCAAAAACACTGTATTACTTTGCAATTTTTTTTAGAAATGTTATTAAAGCTACAACAATAACTTTTATATTTCCTGAAAGAAGAAGATTTTAGCTTTAATTTGGTGCTAAAGTTATTCCTTAACTTTTATAAATATGACATGGGCGATTTTTTTAAACTAAACGATTTTTTAATGGTCATTTAGTTAAAACTCAAAAAACACAACATTACTTTAAATTTTTTTTAAGAAATATTTTTAAAGCTAAAACAATAACTTTTATATTTTCTAAAATAAGAAGATTTAAGCTATAATTGGGTGCAAGAATTATTTCTTAGATTTCATAAATAAGGCTTAGACGATTCTTTTAATTTCAACGTTTTTTTTTCTCTATTTTTATCTTAAGAATGATTTTCTTCTTCTTAAAAAGAAAAGTTTAAGCTTTAATTTGCTTTATAGTTTTCACAAATAAGACCTCAATGATGTTTTTAATTTCATCATGTCTTCATGGTGATTTGGGTTGCTTTAAAATATTTTCAAGAAATGCTTTTGAAGCTAGAACTTTTATATTTTCTGAAAGAAGAAGATTTAAGCTTTAATCTCAAGCATCTATAATAAACTTAAAAAGGTTTTCAGGAATTTCAGGTTTGCATGATGTTATAAGCGATTTTTAGCCGTCGCGACGTTACCGCATCGTAAACTCTCCACCAAAACTGAATATGGTGATGGATTGGGCAAGTAGACCTGGGAGTTGAGAACGGCTCGACAGGATCCAGCACTCGGCCAACTGATTATCCTGCCACCTCTTTCTTCACCGTTCCACAACGAAAATTCCATCGCACTCCGCCACCATCATCCTGATATTAACTGTCTCAATTATTCGTCAATAGAAACGAAAATAAACCCAAAATGATAATTGACGTATGGATGGATACTTTAGTTTTTTATTTAATTAAAAGATTTAAGATCCCTTACACAGCGTAACAAAATTTATCCCTCACTCAAAACTTTCTTTATTTACCCTCCCCGAAATTACAACTTTCTCGGTTTAAAGCAGACTTTACAGAGTGGGTGGTTAAAAAGGAATTAAAGATGCGTTAAGACCAATTTTGTTCATTAGTCCCAATCTACATTCATCCCCCAAACGAAACGAATCCGTCGATTTTCCCCTTAGAATGTTACCCCAAGCATTTTTATGGACCTTATAAATTTGTTTAATTGGTCTTTCATGTAAAGATGTAGACTTGATTGTCTAATAAATTAACGAACCTTTAAAACGGAGGTTGATAAAATTTTCTTTGCTATGATCTAATTGAAATCTCCCAGGAGATAGCTTTTGGTACAGATTCCTGTAATTATTCCCTTGGGGAAAATAGGAAGATGTATTTTAATTTTTTGATTTTGGGAGAATTTGAAAGAAATTAAAGTTTTTTTGGTACAATTTAGGTTTTGTGGTTAATTATATTCGATAAATAGTGATGGGGTGTTATTAAAAATGTTGCTAGCTTCAAAACCTGGAGGCTGAAACGCAGAGGACACTGTTTCAGTGGCTAGGAAAAGCTTGAAATGCCGGTTTACATCTTTCCTCACCAGAGACCACCACGGGAGTATTACCTCTTTGTTTCCGCTCTCCACCGGGCTAAATCCATCCCTACCATAATTCCTCGACTACTCCGGAGTCCGGATTATGCCGGGTGACTCCTTTGAGAGCTGAAATAGAATTGGATTGGATGTTGGTTCGGTTTGGGAAAAGTCTGCATTGGATGGTGTGGTAAAGGAGGAGCTTTTGCCCACGCCTGTGTTGCGCCTTTCTCTCGCCGGGCGTGGCGTGACGTTTCAACCCTTGGGAAGTTCGAAAGCCGCCTCGATGGTTATCTCGACTCCCAGTCGTGTTGATACGTTGCTCTGAAACGGGCCTCTCGCGAGGAAACACTGAAAAATTCCATCGGGAAATCCCCTCGGTTCGGTGACAACAACGAAATCGACTCGGTTTTAGTTTTTGTTTTATTTATCCCGAAGAGAATAAGAAATTTTCTGTAATTTTTTGTTGTGGGTGAAGTGGTTTGATTTTGGCCTTTACTTCTTCGCGTCGGGTTAAAAAGTCGCCAAAACGCGGTCTGACGAGGCGAACCCAGTGGAGCGCGGGTACCCAACCACGTCTCCCTGGTCCCTCTCGCTCACCACCCCCGAGTTGGACCCGGTTGCGGCGGCCTGGGGGAGGAAATTATATCCCGGAACAGGCACAACAAGAGTTTCCGGACCAGGACTCATGTTTGGCTTACACCACCATCAAGATGCAGCAGGACTGCATCATCATCATCAACCGCGAGGACCCAGCCTTAAAGAGGAACCACTCACAGCAACAAGATCTTGGATGCAACCGACGGTTCCTGATCAAAATGGGTAAGTTAAAACTCTCAATCTAAATCGAATCGTATTAACGAGCTCTTTCTGAGCCTAAAACCAAACAAAAACGTTTTTGGCACGTGTCCCATTCAAAACCCACCCCTCAGCCGCGTGTTATCTTCTTTTGCATATCATAAAATATTCTTTTATAAGAAATGCACCTAAACATTAAAAAATATATACACTAAAATAGATGATATGGTATTGATATGCACCCCTCCACAACCCGTCGCTTCGTTACGACACCAAAAATCGTCTCGAAATAAAGCAAACTAAATCACCATAATTATCAGATATACATGATAATGATATTTCCTTTTGGAAATGAAACTGATTGCAAGTTAACCGAACCAGTTCCGCGTAAATAGATTACATTTCATTACGTTGGGCGTAATTAACGACGCGCGGTAATCGCGGGGCGAAACAGAAAATCTGATTAATCAGCGGAATATTTGATCAAATTCGCCATAAATTTTAAGCGCGCATTTTTGGTGTGGGGCCGTTTTCCCCCCTGGAAACCGGACGATATCCAGCCATACGAACGGTCCTGATGTTGCTGCGGATTGGCAAGCGTGCCGAGAGCCCGCCACCACCACCACGTTGGGCTTTAATGACGCGGTCGCATTGCGGATCCGGCAATCTAATTAGCACCCGGTTTGCTTAACTACTTACTTAAATTGGCTACCTAATCATTCGCGCGTCGTTATATGGTGTGTTCTATTGGTCGCAAAACACGTGCTAAAAGGATTGATCTTAAATTAGTATAACTAATGTTATTGGAATATGTATTGGTGGCCAATACTACCAATATAGAAGATAGTCACGACCGAAAAGAATAAAATTTGCTGCAACTTTGTTCTAATCATTAACTACATTTAAAAATCATCAAATTTTCATAATTTCGTATTTTTCTCAATATCTATACATCTGAGAGCAAAAATACAAGAGAGCAATTTTGCTAAGTATAAAATTTGCTACAACTTTTGTTTTAAAAGTTTTTTCGTAACATACTCCGATATTCAAGTGTTACCATGTAGTACTTTCAAAACGACGAAATTCATAAAATTTTCATAATTTCGTATTTTTCTCAATGTTTACGCATCTTAGAGCAAAAGTACAAGAGAGCAATTTTGCTAAGTATAAAATTTGCTACAACTTTTGTTTTAAAAGTTTTTTTGTAACATACTCCGATATCCAAGTGTTACCATGTAGTACTTTCAAAACGACGAAATTCATCAAATGTTCATAATTTCGTATTTTTCTCAATATCTACGCATCTTAGAGCAAAAGTACAAGAGATCAATATTACTAAGTATAAAATTTGCTACAACTTTTGTTTTAAAAGTTTTTTTGTAACATACTCCGATATTCAAGTGTTACCATGTAGTGCTTTCAAAACGACGAAATTCATAAAATTTTCAAAATTTCGTACTTTTCTCAATATCTATACATCTGAGAGTAAAAGTACAAGAGAGCAATTTTACTAAGTATAAAATTTGCTACAACTTTTGTTTTAAAAGTTTTTTTGTAACATGCTTCGATATCCAAGTGTTATCATTAATTACTCTTAAAATAACAAAATTAATCAAATTTTCATAATTTCGTATTTCTCTCAATATCTATACATTTGAAAGCAAAAGTATAAGAGAGCAATATTGCTAAGTATAAAATTTGCTACAACTTTTGTTTTAAAAGTTTTTTCGTAACATACTCCGATATTCAAGTATTACCATGACGTACTTTCAAAACGACGAAATTCATAAAATGTTCATAATTTCGTATTTTTCTCAATATCTATACATTTGAGAGCAAAAGTACAAGAGAGCAATATTGCTAAGTATAAAATTTGCTATAATTTTTGTTTCAAAAGTTTTTTTGTAACATACTCCGATATTCAAGTGCTACCATGACGTACTTTCAAAATGACGAAATTCATAAAATGTTCATAATTTCGTATTTTTCTCAATACCTATACATTTGAGAGCAAAAGTATAAGAGAGTAATTTTGCTAAGTATAAAATTTGCTACAACTTTTGTCTTAAAAGTTTTTTTGTAACATACTCCGATATCCAAGTGTTACCATGAAGTACTTTCAAATTGACGAAATTCCTAAAATTTTCATAATTTCGTATTTTTCTCAATGTTTACGCATCTAACAGCAAAAGTACAAAAGAGCAATATTGCTAAGTATAAAATTTGCTACAACTTTTGTTGTAAAATTTTTTTTATAACAAGCTCCGATTCCCGAGTGTTAGCATTAATAACTTGAAAAAACAACAAATTCATAAAATGTTCATAATTTCGTATTTTTCTCAATATCTACGCATTTGAGAGCAAAAGTACAAGAGAGCAATTTTGCTAAGTATAAAATTTGTTACAACTTTTGTTTTAAAAGTTTTTTTGTAACATACTCCGATATTCAAGTGTTACCATATAGTACTTTACAACGACGAAATTTTCATAAAATTTTCATAATTTCGTATTTTTCTCAATGTTTACGCATCTTAGAACAAAAGTACAAGAGATCAATATTGCTAAGTATAAAATTTACTACAACTTTTGTTGTAAATTTTGTTTTATAACAAGCTCCGATTCCCGAGTGTTACCATTAATAACTTGAAGAAACAATAAACTCAGAGCTTTCGCTAACCATTTTTAATGTGATTTAGTTTTGTTTTCGTTATTGTTCCCGTAAAATCAAATTCAGTCGAAAATAATGTTTTTATACTTTGCTTTATGTACAAATTTGTGTTTAAATGTAACTTAAAAGTTTACTACTTGACGCTCTAATTCTACTGAGGAAGGGCTTGTGCCCGAAACTAATTTAGAGAAATAAACACTTAAAAAATCATCACTAGAGTATAATTTGTTCTTTGATCTTTTATATTATTTGTTTTAAAAGTTTTTTTGCAACATGCTTCGATATCCAAGTGTTATCATTAACTATTTTTAAAACAACTAAATTAATCAAATTTTTATAATTTCGTATTTTTCTCAATATCTATACATTTGAGAGCAAAAGCATAAGAGAGCAATATTGCTAAGTATAAAATTTGCTACAACTTTTGTTGTAACATTTTTTTTATAACAAGCTCCGATTCCCGAGTGATACCATTAATAACTTGAAAAAACAACAAATTCATAAAATGTTCATAATTTCGTATTTTTCTCAATATCTATACATTTGAGAGCAAAAGTACAAGAGAGCAATTTTGCTAAGTATAAAATTTGCTACAACTTTTGTTTTAAAAGTTTTTTTGTAACATACTCCGATATCCAAGTGCTACCATGCAGTACTTTCAAAACGACGAATTTCATAAAATTTTCATAATTTCGTATTTTTCTCAATATCTACGCATCTGAGAGCAAAAGTGCAAGAGAGCAATTTTGCTAAGTACAAAATTTGCAACAACTTTTGTTTTAAAAGTTTTTTTGTAACATACTCCGATATCCAAATGTTACCATGTAGTACTTTCAAAACGTCGAAATTCCTAAAATTTTCATAATTTCATATTTTCCTCAATTCTGACGCATCTAACAGCAAAAGTATAGGAGAGCAATATTGATAAGAATAAAATTATCTACAACAATTGTTCCAAAAGTCCTATTATAAAATTGATTTTACCGATATAGTTTGGCAACGCTGATTGAGAGCATCTATTATCAGTAAACGAATCCTTCAATAAACGTGTGTGTCATTCTAAGATATTATAGAGGAGCATAAAAACGGTTCTTTTTTTCGTTGGGTCGAACTTGTCAAGTTAGTTCGTATAAAGGCGTCGCGACGCTCCGTTGACGCTTTGTTTTATTATCGGCGATAAAAGTTCCATTTCGCCCCCGTTATGTATATTGGAAATGTACGAGGTCGCCCGTTTCGTCCAGATAAATAGATCGAAACGAATATAAATCGATGAATCAATTTGTTATTGAAGGTATACTCAAGTTATTTGGTAAAGTTTGTGTTGATTTTATGCCTGCAGTGTTTGTTGGAAGACTTAATAAGCTGAAATGAAATGGGTGTAGTGCAAAAGAGAAAAATATTGTATAATTTAAAACTTTCTTAGCTTTGAGTTATTTTTTTGCAGACTGACTTGTAAATTTAGTTTCAATGAATTAGGATTGTATACAATTTATTAAGGTTAACTTTAAAAATTGTTTTCTCAAAAACTTAGTCAAAAGTGGGATTTTTCGATTATGTATATATGTATAAGAAATTATTTATGGTGTATTATATTTTCATTAAATTTGTTTTAAACTGCTTTTTATTTTATAACGATATCTCAATTAGTTTTTGAGATACGACTTAATAAATAAATTTATAAATAAGAAAATAAATAAAAATGCAGGGTTGAGTTAAAAAAATCATAACGACGATGTTTATGAAAAATAAGAAATTATTTATAGCACATTAAATCTTTATTAAATTTGCTTTAAAATGATCGTTATTTCATTTTGATATCTCAATTAGTTCTTGAGATACGATTTTATAAAGATAAGTTTCATTTTAATAAAATTACATAAGTTTTAGTGGAAACGTTTCGAGAAAGCCAGTATTTTTTTTATGGAAAGGTTGAGTTTAAAACCACAAAATTTTATCATCCTTAAGCTTTTTTTTTAATTCACCTCCACTATTTCTACTCTGCATTGCAATCCAAGGAGGGGAAGTTGAGATGTTGGTTGGCCAAAAACGCATTTAGTTGATTGTGGGCATTTTGGGGTGATAAAATAGTTGCTAAAATTAATACTCATTACGCGAATTAAGTGATAAATACATCTTACATATGTGCTAAGTGTTGAGTGATGGTAGTGATGTTATTAGTGAGATTAGTGACGTTGAGATCGCAGGATTGCTATTTTATGGGTCTTAAAAGGTATCAAATTAATTCATTCCTTGGTCTAAATAAATTAATTTAGCTTTTCTCTCCAGCTGAGCTACAAAATGAGAACCAAGGAAGACAACATCCACTTGGTGAGTCATTTCCAAATTTATTTATTTCTTATTTTTATCAAAACAAATCTTGGTCTCCATATAAAAACCAACTAATCAGAATTATTAGTCTTTTTCTCAAAATTTTTTTATATAAACCTTTTAAACATTAAACACGTTTCGAAAGAAGACATCTTCAGCTTTAATTTGAGATATGAATCAGTTCTCCATCTTCATAAATATAGAAGTTATGATTT